TCAGTCCAGGACTGATGACAATGCAACTGATGAACAGATCCACAATAAGATTAATACCAATAATAATAATGAGTCGCAAAGAGTTCAGACAAATGTGTGAACAAATCCATTGATGACAGCATTTACACCAGAATTTTATAAGACATCCAAACGTTTAGCAAATTATAACAGAATTTATATGAATTTGTGTAAAGAATTAATCTTAATATACATTTAATATGAATAATTCATACTTTTATATTCATATATGATATAAATGATCAGATTATCAGTATACATTTAATTTGAAGCAAATTTCAATATAATTTATTTAAATTTAGATAAATATTTGTATAAATCTACTGATGTGTTCCTATAATTAGTTTATATAATATATTAATAATTTTATATAAAGCACTCAATTATAATTGTATTTAAAATCAATTATTCAATCAACACAGATTTCTATGTTTTGCTTAATTACTGTTAATTGAGCTAGTTCATAATTAAACTAGGATTAAGTCAAAACACGTGACACTTATTTTACGCTTAATTTTCATACATTTTTACATAATATTCATAAAACATGTAATGAGTTATCCATTCATATCCTGATTATAAAATAAATAATTTTCTTTTTATACCATTCATACGAATCTAATTGTATTTGAGAAATGTGTTCAGAAAAAGAAAATTAAAGTTTAAGAAAACTTTTTTGTCAAAACTTTTTAATTTCATGAATTGAGGATAAAATGTAATTTGATGTGATTTTTCTCACATACACTTCATTCACTAAATTAGGTGTCATTTGAAATAAGGATCACATTTGTGTCACAAAAGTAGTCATCTCATGGGTCAGTCATATGGCTGAGTAGTATTGACTTAAGAGATAAGATTACGCCATAAATAAGATAAATACAGTTCAATACGATTGACTCAACTATAGGTGACATTCAGAGAGTGATTAGAAAAAAGTTTTACAAAAGTTTGCAAAACTTTTTCGCCATTAAACGCATGCATTAGTGAAAGGCGTGAAAATGCCAGCATTTTAGCCATAATTCAATGAATTTGTGGCACTTTTATGTGTTTTTGATTTAAAGGGCAAATTCATAGTGAAATACAGCAACAGATTATACTTTTGTGTACAGTTTGTGGCGAACTATAGGTTCAATAAACTGTACGCGAGTTTAGGAAACGTGTGAATATTTAGTGAACAGTGCAGTCATTGGTCTGTTTGTGACCGTTGGGTCACATTAAGTGATGACTGTATGCTTAGTACGTGTCATAAGTGTGTCATTAATTTGCAATCAATTATTCATTAATAAAGTCTTAACTGATGTCCACTCAGTGAGCGACTTATCAGTGAGTCATATGTGAACATTTAAATGAGCGCTACTCACACACTACATGACCACTGAAATCGTGGCCCACTGCTGGCATTGATTACATTACACGCAATGAATGCAAACTAAACCCATCGCACGTCCCCTCATATGTGTATACGTAATATATGAATGCAAACGATAGCCAATCAGACGTGAAGTGAATTTCATATGATTTTCTAAAAGCGAAACCAAAACTCAAACCATAAACGAGTGGTTTGTATGACAAGTATTGCGTTCATCACTTCATCAGCACTCGAGCCATGGATCAGATGGAGGCCACCGACAACACCACCACTGCTGCCGCACCGGCCAAGACATGTCTGAAGAGATCGCACGCGGAGGCGGACACCCGTGCGAAGCGCCAGCGAGACCTGGAGGGCAATGGCATTGACACCGCTCTCGAGCACTACTACGAGCACCGGATGCCACACACCGAAGACGAGTGGAACCACTGGGAGAGGATGTCGGCGATGGACAGGACGATGAACCACATCTCCAACCTGTTGGTCAACTTCAGCCTCGAGCGCATCGAAGCGCCCGAATGGCCGGACGCGCCGCCCCTGAAGGCGCCCCCACTGGCGGCCAGTCCTCCGCAGCCGCAGCCGTACGACAAGTTTCCGCCCAAAGTGGGCGAAGTTGTCTTTGGCTACCATTTGGATGAAGTGGTGGCCGTCGGGAAGCGTACGGCGCTCTTCGTGTGCCATAAGGACGGCACCGACACTCGTATGATAGCGAAGGTGGCCATCGAGGGTGGCTTCGAGGCACTCATGCGTGAGATGGAGGCCTACAAGAAGTTGAGCGGTTGTGGCGCCGCTCTGATGCGCGACTATATTCTGTACGTCCGGTGATTGTCTCGCGCGATGTGACCACTCATGTAATGGATGTCTGATCTATAGGTGGAACGACTGGAAGAGCGATACGTTTCGCATCCGTTGGGGTCTCGTAGTGTTGGAGAGGTTGGGCCCAAACCTGTTGGACGCCATGAAGCGGTTCCCGAGCGGTGTCATTGAGCCCATGGATAGAGTGTACGGATTGGCCGTTCAAATGATCGACTGCGTGGAAAAGATGCACTCAAAGGGTTGGATCCACTGCTCGCTAAAGCCCGAGAACTTGCTGATGGATGGCGAGCCGGCGGCCGGTCTTAAAGCGATTGGTCTGCGATATAGCAAACAATATGTTGCGCTGCGAACCAATGGCACGTTGGCTCACATCCCGGAGCCCGCGTACGACCACAAGAAGTTGCCGATGGGTGACCCCAACTTCCACTCCATTGGCTACCATAACGGCTTCTGTCGGTCGCGTCGGGACGACATGGAGTCTCTCGGCTATTGTATCGTCTTTATGGCCAAAGGGTCGCTGCCGTGGATGAGCCGTAAGCACAGGAACCCCATGTCCACGAAGACTATACGCCAGATCGGGACCGCTATGAAGGAGACCAGTTTGGAGCAGCTGTGCGCCGGTATGTCATTTGAATGTCCGCTTTTTGTGTGCATTTTTAATGGTGTTTTGTGTCGATTACAGGACTGTCTCCACGTTTCGTCCAATACTTCCAAATCATAAGTCATTACGAGTTCGAAGATGAGCCCAATTATGAAGGATTGAGACAATGTTTTAGAGTTTAATTATTATTTGTATTTTATTATTGTTTTATTATTATTGATGTTATTTTTCAAAGTCTTAGTTCTTTATCATAATTATTGTAAAGTATTATTATTATTAAGTAGTGTATTTAATGTTTTTCGAGAAGTTCTTATTATTATCTGTATTTTAAATTTATATTAATCACTACTTAGTAAGACATTGTTACCATTGTTGACGCGATTACAAATTTTATAGGACAGTTAGTAAATTCATGAATTATTATCATTAAAAGTATTTTGTATTTTCATAAATAGGTATTTCAAATCATTGAGTATGAAATGATTGTAAGTGATAATTGTAATTAATAATTAACAAATCTCAAAAGAGTAGAAGTTATTTTGTAATGTTTATATTAATATTTACCTCAATATGGTATTCTTTGCTCCAAATTGTGTGACTGTTGTGTATTTAAATCATTTAATACTACAAGTTGTATTCGTAGATAATTAGATATTGTAAGTATATTATTTCTATAAACTTTGTTTTTGTAAAACGTTTAAGATTAAAGTTTGAGATAATTCATAGAAAACTTGGAAAGTAAATTTTTATTCAATTTAAATAGTTAGAGAACATGTGTGCCTTAACAGGTATAACATTAATTATGTTATACATAATGAGTGCATATTATTGTTTGGATTTACAGGCAAAGGTTAGTTTAAACTTTGTTTAATATGTGGTGTATTTGTGAGATTGAGTTCATTTATTGATAGACCACTGAATTAATGAACATTTTCGGAGTAATGAGACCATTGGCACAGAATATGACATCGTTTTCGTACTGTTGAGACATTGAAATCAAATCGTTATAAGAAATTCCTCCCAAAATGAATACAAATAGCTTTCGTTTGCGAGTACTTCTAGTTTTAGACTTCTTTTCGTAGATCTTTGGGAAATGGATGTTAGACAACGTGTTGTCAAAATAGTTTGAGATAATTGTGGCTATAATTAAGTGATTGACTGAAATCTCTGACAAATTATTGACAGATTTTTTGCACAAATCTACAAAATCTTTAATTACTGTCCAATCGATGTCTCGATCCTTTTCCTGCTGTTCGACGATATGTTTCAAGTCTTTAGTCTTCATATCATTGCAAAGCAATTGTCTTAATATTAAGACTCTAATGAAGTCATAGTCTGTCACTTCTCTATCATTTTTGGCAAACAATTTCTTTAATCTTTTGTTTCTGTCATTAATTCCTGATTTGTGATCAGATTTCGTATCAAATAATGATCTCTCGATTTGCAGCAATTCAGTGAAACTCCTATTTTGTATTTTTGCGATTATTTTCTTTCCATTTCTAATGTTTTTATTTGTCTTTTCAATCAATTCTTCATTCTTTTCAT